ACAGCAATTTGGCACACTAAATTACAAAATATTTTAAAACTTACTTTTGACAGGTAAGTCTAATATGGTCAATTGTGTTCAAGTTACAGTCCTCAGGCTAATGTGTTCTTAGACAATGTGGCACCTGCCTACCAGGCAGTTCACACAAAAAACACCAATAAGTGCAAAGTTTGGGCTTTAGTCAGATTATTTCTCATAGTATTAAAGCCGTAAGAAATCTGTATTCTGCATTTTGAGACACCAAACCATGATTTGATCACAGAAGTACTATAAAAAAACCTCTTTCTCAAGGAGGAATTTAAGGAGCGAAAGTGGAGAATCTTTTAAGATTTTTTTTGGTTTAGCTATGAAAATAATTTTTACAAGTACCACTCCAAATTGCAACTTATTTATAGCAGAGTGAAATTACCAGACATCTGCACATACCATCCTTACTCAAAGGGATAAACACATCCAGCTATGCACAGTCACAGTGCTTTAATTTATCAACATTTATTTTTCAAAAAAAATCTAGGTGGATTCCCACTAACACAGTAGGAACAATTTAATTACATCTCAAGATAGAATTCCAGAAAAATCTTACAAAGCACTAAGAAGTTGACATAATTCCAAGTGTCTCTTCCTAGCTCCATATGCTAAGTATCTGCTACTATTACATCCCAGCTATCCTACCCTAAGGCATCACCAAAAAATTATGTCATTTCCAGATAAGTGTTCACATGAACTTTATTCTCTTAATAACTTTCATTCTAAAAGGCTCAGATTTTTTGGGGTAACTCCCACATTAACATTTCTACTGGCATCTCTCAAGTTAAATAAATCATCCTTAAATGCAATGTTCAAACAACAGCTTTAGGTATGCCAGACTACATCTGAAAAGCACAGCTATAAAACATGAAGGACTCTGCCCATGCTGGAAGCCCTGGAATGTGATAACAAAGACAGCTACTGGATTACAGTAATAAACACTAACTGTGCATATTGTACCATGCACACTGCAATGAATTGCTCATTTTTTAAATACTAATAGTACTGTACTGCAGGTATTAAAGAAATAATTCAGTAGTCTAACTGTTCTGGAAGCTCTACGGTGAATTAAGGAATATGACCCACCTAAATTATTTTGCTGCTCAACACATTTATCAAAGCAGTGTTGATCTTGGACACTGTAATTGCATCACAGCACTGAGGTGCCCCAGCCAGAAGCTGCAGGAACAGTTACTGAAGGCCTAAATTATTCTCCACACCATAATGCAGAGATGCCCATATTTTTTTCAGGAAAAAAGTTCATTTGTGTATAAATTAATGAAATCAAGAACTTAAATTGATCACCAGACCTCTCAGGGAAGCAGAATACCCCACAAAAGAATGTGGGGATGGCCAAAGATGCCACAGGGAGAGATCTACCCTGCTGACTGACAGCAGGAGACAAGGGGTAACACTTGGCAGCGAGGTTTGCCCAGAGATTAGACAAAATATTCAGCAGTGTAATACCTACAGTTCATTTTCATAACAGAAATGCAACTGCCAAAAAAAAAAGGGTGAACACACCAGCCAGTCTCAAAAGCTACATATGAATCCACCCATGCAGCCACCAGTAAATACAGGCTTATGCAGGAGACATTCAAGTTCTAATTCTCACTCCAAAATCTTGAATGGTCCTGGAGTGAGAAGCTTTGTTTTAAAATCAGCATTTGTGTGTATTTGTCAAAGCAAAGGAAACAACAAATAATATATTGCCCAAAGCCTCATTTAATGCAGTGCAGTAGCATTTTCCTTAAAGAACCTGCAACAAGTTTCCTTAAAGAACCTGAAGACCCAAAACCTTAAAGCAGTATCATTTAGGTTTTTAGAATGCAAAATTCCATGATGCACTGACAGCTGCTAGATTATGCATATTGCCTAAGTCATCAGTGATTTTAAATGAATCTGATTTTAAAAAACCTTTCCTCACTGTATCACAACGACAGGATATTGACAGCATCATTTTGACATTCCTTTGCTTTTCAGGACATATTTCTACTGTATATACTCATCATCTGTTTATTTTTGGCTTCATTTTTCTAAATACTGAAGCTGCCCTATCAGTTTCACAGGCTTATAAATGTTATACATCAAAAATTAGTTTCACTTATTAAGGCAGGAAACGGCTGTAAGAACTCTGGGATCTGTGCCTCAAAGCAAAAGCTTTATCAGCAGGTTCCAGTCACTGCTTCTTGCAAAAGAAAATGGTGCCGATTAAAACCCCATACACCTGATTTCAAAAAGAACACCTACCCACTGAACATTTCTCACATGGCTGCAAGGGGGGCTGCACCCCAAACACCAGACAGCTGTTTCTCACACACTCCCTGTCCCCAGCCCTGTAACACCGCTCAAGAAAAATGAAAACTATACATAAAGAGATGAAGTTGAGATAAAAGAACAATAATTCATCCATTTATTACTCCAGACTTCAGAAGTGGTGCACTTCAATACAGCCACAGTGCAGTTCCATGCCTGACTTGCTCACAGAGCTGTGTTGCATTTGGAAGTTAGAGGTTTACAAATAGCCATATTATTTAAAAACTAACTCACTTCTTAGAAGCATTGTATAATAAAATCAACACTTCTGTAAACTGCTAAGAGAAAAAAAGTAGCAATTGAATGAATACAACATGAAAGCAGTATTTTATTAAGTGTACTTGTATACAAAACAATGACTGTTCAACCAGCCTCTTCCATAATCAAATTCTCAAATTTTTATAGCTCTTCACTGAAACAGTCACTGTTAGAAAAATTTCCTTAGGAAAAAAAGTATTTTAAAAGATCCATTAAAAAAAAAAGCTTCTGAAAATCACAAAGAAAAATGAACCTTGCAGTGAGCAATGGAGCACATCTCTACAAGAGCAGAGAACCCCAGTGAATTCACATGGATTCTGCCTCAACAGAACTCCTCATGAGAGATCAAGCCAGTCATTTGAGTTTCCCTTCTTTCAACGTATTATTTGTTCAGATAAACCCACTTAACCAAAACCAAGTCAAGGTTGTGAATACTAATAATGTTTCAAGCATTTTGTTTTCAGAATTACAACATGCTAATATTTGAAAGTCAACAATTTGAAGCTAATGTTCCACAAATAATAATACACTGCTGTAGCACCTGGGATATGCTAGATGTTGTATAATCCCATGGCTACCAAAATCAGATAACAGTTTATCATAAATATTACAAAACCTTGAAACTTCTTACATTAATTTGTTTTTATAGTCAAACAATTTGCACTAGAACCTCAGTATGTTTTATTGATTATAATACTCCAACCACTTTAGAGGAGATGGGATAATGACATTTGTGAAGGAGAACAGCAAGTGTTTTTCATGTTGTACACATGAAAGGTAATAAAACAGTCAGAAGCTGGTCAGACTTAAAGGGAACATCAGGACACATCCCTACCACTGTCAATAGCTGTTATCGTTGCAGACTGAAGTTTTGTGATCACTGGTGACAAGGCAGATAAGAGTCTAGTCATAGTCTAGTCATTAAAAACTGCCCTGAGTGACTAAAGGGAGGAGTTTAATGATTTTGTAAGAACACTCACTGAGGAACAGTTACTTTTACCTAACCTCAGAGAAGCTTAAGAACTGTATTTCCCACTTCAAAAGCTGTCTGTTTTTAAAGCCATCACAATATTGTAATACATTGCATTAAACAGATTTAAATCTGCAATTTTACATTAAAGCTTAGTTGAAAACACTGTATTTAAGAAACATTTAAAATACTTGTATGAGAATGAGAAGCAGCTAAAATTTGTCTTTGCTTTCCTAATCCCTTTGAATTTTGCAAGCATATACAGTGGACAGAAAATTCCCATTACCTCTGTGAAGATGGAAGAATATGCAAGATAAAAGAATGAGAGCAAAAATTATATAATTATTTTTTAGTATAAATCGAGATTTATAGTTTAAATCCTACTACTTAGATTACTTTAAAAAGATCACATTTCCACTCACTGAAATAGTACTTTTTCTTACCTGGCTTCAAAACTGTTAAACTATCTTATTATCCTAATGTTTTCCTCTGCATTTTCTCCCTCATGCAGAACTAGCAGTGGAGAAAACAGCCTTTGTGGACTTCAGCTATTTTTATTTCAGCTTCCTCCACCTATCCTATGTGCACAAATTGAACAATTGCTTAAATGAAAGTACCAGAGCTATCTGATAGATTCCTCACCAGTTTTAACTATTCACTAAGATCCATACATACAGATGTTTTTCTCCCACTTTTGTAGCAAACAGACTACAGCCTTCATGAAATTACTCGGGTACACCAACTATCAACTTGGAAAAACTGTGTTACTTTGGACTTGGTTTTAGGTATGTATTTACAGACTGAACAATTATGACAAGGAGAAAAAAATATCCAACACAATTCTAAGGCTACAGCAGTAGCACAGAGAGACAGCCATCTACTCCCACTCTTCAGAATTCTTCCAGCCTGAAGAATCTTCTCCTGACCACATGAATACACAGAAAAACAAGTATTGGCACACGGCTTGGTTTTCCATGTGTTCTCATTTGCTCTAGGCTTGCTATATCTCTACCTGTCTTGAGGCTTCCCAAGCTTATAGACAAGGTGATGCCAAAAAAAATTATGAGGCACAAGGAACTGAGAGAAAGGGAACATCCTACTCCTGTTCTCTTGGCTTGCACCATGGAAAAAAAATCAAAAGCTCAACACAGATGACCAGATATTCTTCTGAGTTGAGGAGTGAGCAGCAAGGATCTAAAGCAAGGTTACTTGGGACAGTTCATGGATGTATTTTCAAAAACACAGCTACAGCTGTCCAAGCATTGCTAGATCAGCAGGAAAGTTCTGAAATCACTGACAGGAGCCTGCTCAGGAAATGGGAAAGATGCTGCAAACAACCTTCAATGCTGTTTTACTCAGCATTTACACTTTTAGTCCAGGTGTGCAAAACTAAATGACCCCTCAGAGCTCTTGTTAACAGCCCACTTACCTCACGAATGGCTAATCTGTCACTCAGCTCCTCAGCCTTGGCAATGTCACCTTCAGCCACACACTTCTCTATGCTCAGTTCAAGGCCAGACTAGAGAAAAAAAAAAGGTAAATGCCTTCAGAAGAAAAAGAACATATTTAAAAGGAGTACCTCCTTTCTAAAAATATTTCTTTCATTAAATTCTTTAAGACACTGCATAAACCTGTAATTTGTGTGTACCACAAATCACTCTGTCTGTGTATTGTAATGGACAGTATAATTAAGAATTCACTGAAAGGCCGCCTGAGCACAAATCATTGCATTAGTTCCACCTTATGTGCAAGATAATACTATAGGTTAAAAAAATTACACGGGCTAGTTTATGCCTGTCACAATAAAATTTCATCTGAAGATCTGGCTTATCTCTTCCATCCCTGGAGCTTTCTAAACAAAATGTGAAATATATGTGTCAGGTAACATGAAGAATGGCAATTACCACTGTATCGTTACAGTTCTAAGATCTTATCTTTACCCAAAAAAACAGAGTTCTGGCACATAGCCACTCCACTGTGTTAATAAATTAAAAATTCTAGCAGCCCTATGGAAAACAATGAAAATGTTCAGGATTTAAGGGTTGTTTTCTTATTTTCAGATGTTAACAATGTGTTTAATGGCAACACTTACAAATAACATAATAAAAAGCCATTTCCTGGAAACTATGGTTGTAAATTTTTGGTGGAGTATAGAAGGGTAGCACTGACTTCAGAAATGCACAAAAAACCTCACTCTCATAAAAAAGATAATTTACAGCCTCACTGATTTTAAACATTAGTGAACTAAAGAAAACACATTTGACAGTTCCATAACATATACTTTTTTAAAATATAAAAATGAAAATGCTAATGGAATTCTTGAAAAACAGTGATCTGCAAACACAGCACTTTAATTATTTCAGTTGGTAGTTGAAAAAAAAAAAGCACAATTGGAAGTTGCAGTGATGGCAAATTCCGTTAATATGAAAACAGTGAGATGTGTCTTCCACTAGTGATAATATCCCTGAAATTACAATGAAACCATCTGCATTTTAACAGTTTGGGCCTCATTCCAGATCCATCTTTAATGACAACTAAATAGCCACCAAAAATAAGAAGCAAACAAATCTTCATGATATGCATGTAGAAACTTACGTCAAGAAAATGAAAAATACAAAGATTATCATAAAGGAAGCTAACTGAACATTTCATGTACTAGAACTTACAGGGAACTTTATAAGAAATATTATAGAACCAACAGCACTACCACAAACTCACAATGTAGTGAGAGTCTTAACTTATCCATCGTGTCTGACAATTAGTTCAGATATGACTAGTTACACAGTAATATTTATGAACAAATTGTGTTATAAATCCAGTCAAAATGTATGCTAGGTTTGCACCTTTAATTCTTGCAACCACTGCTGTCAACTGAAATATTCATGTGACACATTTTAAAGTAAAAACATGATGAAGTAAAATGAAAGAAAAAGTCACACAATTCATACAAAGTGTTCTGTCTCTCATAACAGGAAAAAACTAAACCAGACAGGAAACAACCCTGGATACTGTCTTAAAAGAAAGCACAGCAAACATTCCAGAACATTTATTTTAAAAGTCCACAAAATTATCCTTCCTCAGAGTGATTGTATCTTTTACTCTCAAATAGCCTCAGTTTCATTCCTATCTCAATTAAGGACAAGTTCTTTAACTGCCAAACACAAGCTGGCACTGCCCTTTGTAATAACAGTCACCTTTTGTGGAGCCCTGCTGTTCACAGGTGATTCAAATCTATCGTTGATTCCAAAGTATTGTGTAAGTTCTTTCCATTTCTCTTCATTTTCCAACTGCTGACTACTAAAAACAAACAAACAAACAAACAAACAAGTCAGCACCATAACCACTTCCCTTTCCACAATTTGTAATATCCTTTTCAAAGCTAAAATAAACTCTTCCATTTGGCAGACATGGTCTTTTCATCCATTCCGTTTTTAAATGAAGTGAAATTAACTATTCCTCCCCCTTTGTGTACACCTAATTTCACAATCTCGAAAGCAAGCTGATAAATCATAGAAACATTTAAGTTGACAAAGCTCTTTAAGATTGAGTCTAACCATAAATCCAACACTGCCAAGAAAGAAAGAGAGAAGGAGAAGGCTGAACAGGAGCTTGTATGAAGGAAGTAGGAAGAACATTAAGTCTATTAAAAGTTACATTAAATGATACATTTATGCTGATTTTTAAAATCAAGCAATAACACTCCATCAAGCAATCACTAGTACAAATCCAGCCTGCCCAACAGAGACACTGAACAAATTTAGAAGATATTTTATGCAATGCTCAAAGCTAGGCTTTGGCTATGGATGTGGTCAGGCTTATTTTAAGTTTTGCCTGATACTAAGAGATCTCAGGTAATCCCATTCACCTGGTTATACCTTTTAGCCACTTCATCAGTCTTTCTCTGTTTTGCTAAGGGAAAAAAAAAAGAAAAAAAATCCAACATTACACAGTGATACCCCACAGCATCCAATGAAATTAAGAGCTTTAACTTATCACATTTCCTTTATTTTCTCTGAAAAACCAACACACGGGGATTTCTACCCAGTGATCATGTGGATTTAAACCACTCAGCTGTAAGAAACTCCTGCAATATCTGTGAAGTTTTAACCAGAATGTGCAAAAGCAATTTTTGTAGAACTACTGAAACACGCTTAACCATTATACATCAGTATTAACTGAGGAAGTTCTACCTCCTTTTTAAGAGGACAAATATATTACTTGCATTCTATGTAGCAAGCTCACTACAACCTTGCAAGTGATGCATACAAGTGGAAAAATAAAATCCTAGAATACAATTCTTTAAAAAATGAATACAATTCTAGAATACAATTCTCCATTTAAAAAAAAAAAAAACACAAGAAAAAAACCCTCAAAAACCAAAAACATCAAACCCACAAAACATCATGTATTGATACTTCTTCATTGGAAAAAAATAAATTCTGGTTATCATTAAAAAACGACCTTTTCGGCGGCGCTTTCTTTTTCGGCACCTGTTTTCCTCTTTCACTTGCATTTTCATTTCACGGTGTTTCTTCTGAAGCTCCACAAACTTCTACAAGATCATGAAAAAGCAAGTCAGTATTTTCAATTTTCCCCCCATTTTTAAGAAATTGCAGAGAGAAATGTATAATTACCCACAGTGCCTTGTGTTATCTATTACATCCCAGTCTATAAATTGAGACCATGGGGCTCTGATGGTGTTAAACTGGAACTGGTGCTCATCTTTCATCACCTCTCTCTGACTTTCTGTTCTCCCTACATCCCAGGACTGTTCAGATCTGACAGTTCTCTCATAGGATGTGACACAGAACACACTTTTGCTTGTTGTGCACTCCTGAGCTATAATATGTATTTTTATTGCCTAGCTGGTAGTTTGCAATCCACAGATTATTGACAGTATGGTCCTTGCACAGCAGGCTACCTACAAGGACTGAAGGATGAAAGAAGGCAATTATTTTTTGCCAATTCTTATTTTGAATCCAAAGCCTTAAACACATTGGTTTTTTTCAGGGATTTTTGTTTTCCCCAGCCTTTAAATACAACTGCAAAATCAGGAGGTTATAAGGAACTCTTGAGTCTGAATGCTTGCAATTAACCCCTACAGCAAACAGCAGGGCACACCTGCCAGGTGTGCAGCACACCCACAGAGACTGAAACACAGAGCTGTGCATCCTTACCCATGCAGAAAGCAGCTACCAAGCAGCTCAGAGCCCACGAACCACGGAAAACACAACTTTTATGCAAATGTATGGGAATAACAACTCTTTGCTGTGCTTTCAATCACCACCAAACTACCATCTCATTACTTCCTTCCTAAATTCCTGTTTACCTCACTTGGAACAATCTAAGGTTTGTATACTCAGATCATATTCTATCAAATTTCAGATGTGTCTATTGACTAGTCAACCCTGAATTACTTAAATCTAAAAATCATATTGAGATTTCTCAATCTCACCAAATGGCTATTTGATTGCACTGCATTATGCTCATCTGCAGACCTGTAATGATACATACATTCCAGATATTCACAGAAACTCCCAGAGGGCACGTTTGAGATTCACTTTCTTCATCTGTCACCGGCAGAAGAGGTTCACTGCTGGCATTACTTTCCTGTCCAGTCCCCTGAACTCTTTCAGTATCTTCTTTTGTGTCTTGCTTTGAACAGGAATCAGGTGATTCGTCTCCATCATCAGAACTTAGATCAACATCACTTTCATTCAGTCCTGGAGGTAACAGCCCACTCCACATCTTCCAGTTTACATAAGTCCAAACTATTTCGAGTCACTGCAAAGACACCGGGTTACCCATCCCAGCACAAAAACAACCTGCAGAAGGGAGAAACAGAACCAGCAAAACGCGTCATCAGAAATATTTTTGTTTTTCCTGCATATATACCATTACATGTTTTACACAAGACATTATAAAGCTGCTAATACTTACTATTTTAGAAAGAAGAAAACTTGATTACAGATGCTGAGACTGCTGGCTCTTTCTTCCCCCACTTCTCGTCCTTTAAAGTTGTGGCCCTGTGCGTTTGCTTACAGCTCCTTTCAGCTGGGGGACGACACCGCAGCAAACGCCTCCCGTGCCTCCACAGGGGCAAGCTCCCGGGACAGCACAGCCACGGGCCGCGGCAGGGGAGAGCCGGGCAGGGCAGGCGGCAGGCCGGGAAGCGAGGGGGGGAAGCTCCGGAGACAGCGAAGCGAAGAGAAACGCGGCTCAACGTCGGCCTCGGGGAAGGCAGCCGGCGCTCGCCGTCCCGCCGGTGCCCGCAGGGCCGGCGGCGCTGCCGGAGCCCCGCGGAGCCCCTCACGCCGCCGCCCGGCCCCGCGGAGCCCCTCACGCCGCCGCCCGGCCCCGCGGAGCCCCGCGGAGCCCCTCACGCCGCCGCCCGGCCCCGCGGAGCCCCGCGGAGCCCCTCACGCTGCCGCCCGCTCCGCACCCGCCGCCCGCGGCCGTGTTTACCTGGCCGCCATCTTGGCACGGCCGGAACACCCCGCGCGCGGCCGGGGCGGGGCGGCGCAGCCAATCAGCGGGCGCGCCGGCCGCCGCGGCGCCGGGGCGGGGCGGGGCGGCCATGGCGGCGGCGCCGTGAGGGGGGAGCGGCGGGGCGGAAGGGATGGCGAGTGCTAAAGTGCACTTGTCTGAGTCTCAGAACCATTTAGCGAGTGCTAAAGTGGACTTGTCAGAGTCTCAGAACCATTTCGGTTGATAAAGGTCTCTAAGAGAACCGAGTCCAACTTACGAGCCAACGCCGCTGTGTCCACCACACCATGACACCGGGTGCTACATGCAGTCTTCCCTGGAGTCACCTCCAGGCCCAGTGGCTCCATCGCCTCCCTGGACAGCCCATTGCAATGTTTAGTCACCCTTGTAGTGAAAAAATTACTCCTAATGTCCAGCTTTAATCTCAGTTGATGCAACAGAAGGCCATTTCCTCTCATCAAATCTCTTACTCCCTGGCAGTATCTTATTCCCAGAGCCTGATCTCACTCTGGCTCCAACCTCCTGTCAGGGAGTCTTGGAGAGCAATAATGTCCCCCTTGAGCCTCTTTATCCAGACTGTGAAAAACGCTAATCACTTGGTTTTTATAATTTTAAAAGTTTAATAATAATAAAATGGTTATAAAAATAGTAATATAATTAGAGTAATAAAGTTTAGAGTTAGGATAATCATAAGATAATAAAAAGCAAAGAATTATGGATGTTTGGATGCTTTTGGATACTAAGTAACAAAAAGCATACTTCGTGAACAAAGGAATAAACTTAAAAACAATAGCTTGTTGTATATTTATATATCTCATACATGATGCATAAATTCTTTGCAAATTAAGAACTTTTCTGGGTTTTGTTAACTTCTTAATCTTGTTGGTTCTACAAAGATGGAGAGAAGGTGGAAGAAAGTCTTTTCTGATAAGGAAGCTGTAACTTTTTATGGGACCTCTTCGCTGACATCTTTGTGTGAAGAGTTTCTTATTATTTCATCTTTTTGCTTGAGCTTGTAACAAATCCTATATCGCAGAGTTTCTATTTTAACATTATGTTGTAACCTAAAACTACATTTAACACACTACGTAAGAGAATCAATATAGCATAACTTTCTAACATTACACATATAATATTCATTGTAACATTTGTGAAAAGCCAATCATAAAATATGCATTTTTCACAAGACTAAACACCCCCAACTCCCTCAGCTGCTCCTCATCAGACTTGAGCTTCTTTCAGAAGAAGGACAAGCCTCAAGTTGTATAGCAATCCTTGCTGTCATAAAGGAATGTGGCATCTCTTCCAACAGTAAGCCTTGTAGTTAAGCCACACCAAAATGTTTATGCTGGGACAGAATGGGTGAGGGTCATACTCTTCAAGAATTGAAAAATCCTTCCAAAGTTCTCAGTAGTGCCTTGGATTAATGTGGTAAAGAGAAAACCACAAAAGTGCAAAGTCTGCACAGAGCAAAGGAATTGTTTTTCTCTAAGTTTCTGCTACACATTGTCCTTTCAGCTCTCATGGGTGAGGCAGACAACCTAACCATTTAAGAGCAGCCTGAATATGATTCACCAAGAACATCTTGCATAGAAGGAGCAACAGGAAGGGAGGCACAAGGAGAAGATGAAGACAAGGCTGACATCACTGAAATGTGTCTGAAAGACAGGAGGTTTCCCATCTTCAAAATAATTTGTGAGAAGATGTACTTTTCACCGACATTTTGACAGGTTGAAAACTGTATCTCAATATGATAATGTGACTTTTGAGAAAGGAATTGCTGGCCCCAAACCACAACATAACCCAGCTGTGGAAATGAGAAAAGGACAAGGGTTATGAAGGTGGATAGTTGAGAATATGGCTATGAGTAGGGATTTCTTGGTTGATCCCAGCTTCTGGGATTGGCTGTGCATGGAAGGAAAACTAAATGCCTTTCTCAGGGACATAAATCAGATCTTCAGATTGTTTTCCTTTTATGCCATAATTTTACATCCTCAGATTCCTTTCTAAAATCAATTAATTCCGTAAGTAATCACTTTTTCATGAACTACATGTAAATTTCACACTCAGCTTGCTAACTAGATTTTCCTCTCATCTGGGAAATCAATTTTTAAGAGAGTTATTTTATTTACATTGAATAATTGGTTGTATTTGGTACACAGATAACTGGTAATTAATAACATTATTGATACTGGATATTCATTGCCATTTGTTCTAGTGAGTTGTTAGACCATTAGGCTGCATGATATTTTCTTAATGTGACCCAATTTGAACACACTCAACAAATTAAAAGGTGTGTGACATCTTTATGACCTGCAAATTTATATATTTGGTAGGGATACATTTTCAGAAAGGCAAATTTAATTTCATTACACAATTTGTATCCAAACATCGTGTTCCTTTTTTAGTATCTACAACCAATTTGTAGCAAGAATGGCACTGGTGGTGCACACAAATGAAGTACTTGAATATCCACATTAACTGCATTTTATAATTACAAATTAAATGTAATTGTCATTTTAAAAGCCACATTTTCAGGGTAATCTTCAGTCCTCCTACAAAAAAAATTCTGACTTCTCAGAAGTTCTTCCATAGGAAAAATGGTGGCAAGAGCTCCTGCTGGACTTTCATCTGTCCAGAAGTATTTGTATTCACAAAGTAAGTGCTTGATGAAACTACAAAAGAGTTTGCTTCCTACTTATCAGAATTTGCAACTTACTGCTGGGTTTTTATGTTGAAATAATGTGTAAAGTCTTTTTATCTGCAGAAGAAAACAGAAGGCAGCACAACCTTTTGACGAACCCTGATGTCCCTACATCAAATTTATGAGGGCTGCTATTGTGGCGAACACTTGATTTGGTGTCAGATTTTTCTGATGGCAATTTTCTGTTCCCCATTGAGCAAATATTCAAATAATCTGATTTATTTCCTTTTGGTCAACTGATCTAATTTCCTTTCTCACTTGAATTCCTGTCCTGGAGGCTTGCCAAACAATGACTCTCATGAATGAAACGAGTCATGCCTTTGAGATTCCTGTGGAACATCAAACTGGCACAACACAGTAATTACAGCTTAGATATTTCTGATGCTGTTATTAAAAACGACTTGAACTTTAGAAGGAAGGACTACTGCAATTAAATGTAACTTCAAGTTTAATTTGAATCTTCCAGGATCTCTATGGTTTGTCAGGTTGTAGGCAATTTTCTCTTTATCTGTCTTTATCTCTTCCTTTACCTGCTGTGGGATATTTACAGACACTGCCACGAGTCCCAGTTCTGGTAGTGTACTTTGTCAGATGTACTTTGGGTTCTTTTTGAAACTCTCTTAATGAGTACCAGTCACAGAAGAGGTGAGAGTTGTCAGATCCCAGAAAAGCTGAAGGCTGTGTGTGTGTCAGGTCACCATGGCAGGTTCTCACAGTACAATTCACATTTCCAGGCCAGATACAGAACACACTGAAGTTCTGATCTAGTTCCATGGATATAGGCTTGAAAACATGTTTAGCTAATCACAAATACTCCTGTACATATTTATTTCCACAAAATATACACAATTTCCTAGTGCGGAAATTAACTACTCCAACATAAATTTTGCATTATTATCTGGTTTTTTAGCAGTAAATGAGGACAATAAGAAACTTTTTCTTAAGCAGTAAAATATGTCACATTCTATCCTTTTGAAATGGTGTTTTCAAACTGTGTCAAAATGATCAAGAACTGGATTCTTCTTTAAACATAATAGGAAGGTCTTATTGTATTAGCAGATTACAGTCATTGTGTTAGTATACTATCTACCTTGTATTCATTTTTGCTAACATAATGAGAATTTTTTCTAGCATGGTTATATTTTAATACAATAAAATAGTGTTGGAAAGGAAAATTAGTATGATTTTAAAGAGATATGTAAAGACAATAAAATAGCCTCTGAGTTTTCTTTCCTAAACTTTTAATTTGATGCTAACTTAAAATATACTTTTTATCAATCCTTGGAATAATTATAGTCAAATGAACATTTAAAGTCAGTTAAAAGGTTTACAGATGGCTTTTTTCCACATACTCTGCTATATAAGATCTAAGCAAGTCTGCCTAGATGTTTCTAAATTTTCTTATTTTAGAGAGGTACATAACTGATCAATGTAGCATCAAGCACTCAGCTTTAATGAGAATATTTTCCTGGCACCATTTACAATGCCCTTGTTCCTCTGAGGTTTGCATTTTGATGAAAATTCTGACTATAGAATCAGAAAGACATGTCTGGTTTTAAGCATCAGCAGCCCACGAACAATTTGCTTTCTCTGCTCTTCAAAAAAGACATTTCTAAAGCACTAACACACAGTGCGTATTCAGGGAGGAAGTAAGACCTGTATAAAGTTCCAGACTGAAGCTTGGAAGATCTGCAGTCGGGTCCCATTTTTGCCACAGGATTCCTGTGAGGAGTGAAAAACGTATTTTCAACTTTTATGCCTCACAGGTGCAAGAGTTCTCATCACCCTTGTCTATTGTGAGCATAAACTGTGAAGGTTTTGAGCCATTTGGACTCCGGGGCACCAACAGACATTGGATTTCTGAGGGTCAAGCCAAGGAACAAATAACAATAGCACAAATTAGTCTTGCAGTGTAGGTCTGACAAAAAGTGCAACAGCTTCAAGGTGCTGATGATCTGGGTTCTTTGGAATAAGTTTTTTGCAGAAGGCAAAAGCATCTGTGAGCAGTTGGAGATGTACCCATACCAACCCTGCCCTGGCTCGACTGGATCCCAGCAGGGCAGGCAGGAGGGTGTGAAATTCCCTTCTGTTTTGCCACAGCCTTTGTTCATCCCTTTGGGGTTCCCTTGGGCTGTGGGGACTCTTGTGTTTTCTGACTTGACCCCTCTGC